CAAATTAAGTCAGAGGTGCTGGGAGAGCCCCCAAAGCCTGGTCCGCGGTGGCCAGGGAGGGCCGGCGCAGCGGGGAGAGGACTCCTGGGTTTCTGGTTGGGTGGACATGAGTCACGGGGCCCAGGGGCAACAGGTGTCAAAATGTCCAGGCCTGCAGCTGAGCTATCTCCTGCCGTGCCTGGCGCCCCCCTGGGTAGCAGCCTGTTGAAAGTCATGGAGCCATGGGGAGGCGGGCCAGGGAACCCACAGCGGGTCTGCTCCCGCCACCCACCAGTGCAGGCCAGTTTGGGCCAGGATGGAGCAAAAGCCAGAAGGTCCGAGTCCCCCTCTGTGGAGGTTTTCAACTCAATTAAGCCAATTAAGGTTTGAGAGATGAAAGAGTACAGAAATGGTATGTTCCCTGCCCTTTTGGTGCCTACAAACCGTTCTAGGCAGCCAGCCCAGGCCGGAAAGTCTCTGTCAGGCCTGCAGCACTGATAGGCCCAGTCACTTCTGTTTTTGGCCATTTCGGTGATGGCTGCTGTCCTTATTCAGACGGAGGGAGGCCGTTGCCCAGGCTTACGGAGAACCCAGGGAAACAAGAGTATATGCTGTTTGGTCTCTCCAGCGGCCACCAGTCACTCAAGACAGACCTTGATTTTACTGATGCCCCCTGTACCCGGTGGCCTGTGGAGTTAAGGAAGAGGGAGTTTAGCAGGACCACCGTCTCCGGCTTAAGGGGCCCCGAGCTGGGGGTCTTGGTGTTCCCAAGGCTCCCGGCTCCCCCTGGGCCGCCCAGGCCCCGCTCACTCACTCCTCCAGGACCCTGTCCCCACCCAGGGCTGACCATGCGGTAGACTTCTTGTCGAATCAATAACCATGTGTCTCTCAGAGCTGATGACCCAACTGCGGGAAAGACCCGCTCGCAGGTCGTTGCCATGCCAAGCAGAGCGAAATAGAGCCAGTTGCGGGATTCTAGACTCAGCAGCAATCGGTTTTGGCGGGGACTTTCTGGAGAACGGTCCGCTTGAATTGCCGCTCAGATTCATCAGAGGCCATTGGGGGAGAGGGAACAGAAAGGTGTGGCGGCCAGGCTGTGTGCTGTGGCAGGGCCAGCAGTGCTGTGGGCGTGTGTGGACAGACCAGTGTGGGGCATTGCTGAACAGCCAGCGCACGACAAGAGCTGGGCGGTGGGGGGTCCTTTGAAGGAATGTGGCTTTTTGCTTGACGGGGCAGGGGAGGACTGAAACCCGGGCTCGGTCTTCCGGAGGCCAGTGCAGCTTGGAGGCAGAGAGGGTGCCAGCACCTGAACTGGGCAATGCGGTGACCAGAGCAGGGTGGTGACCAGCCACCCGACTGGAGGGAGGCCTGTGGGGTGCTGGTCGGCACGTGGGGCCTGGCGGGGGCTGAGGGAGAGAGAGCCGGCTGCGGCGCAGGCAGGGTGTCGGGGGTACCGAGGCGTGGAGCAACGGCATGGCCAGCCACGGGGCTGCGGCGAGGGCAGAAGGCCAGACCTCGACTCCCTGCCCGGTCCCCTTACCGTGAGTCACCTTGGGCCCAGTTGGCCGCAGTGGCGACAGCACACCAGTTAGGAGCAGCCCAAGGCCCCAGCGTGGCTGTGTCTGGGCCGCGGCTGCTGCTTAATGGAGGGCAGGGCCACACCTGGAGAC